GAGAGGAACAAAGGAAGGTGGAATGCTGCCCTGGCTGGGGGGCAGGGCTGGAAGAGGGTTAGTTAGTTGCTGTCTGGGAGCATGGAGGAGACAGCCTAGGGAAAGGGGCTGGAGTTTAGGGGCCCAGTCTCCCCCATCTCAAGGGGGCCTGAGGCATCCTAGCCCAGCTCTGTGACCAGATTACATCTGTGCTGTGCTGTATCCTGGAGAGGCAATAAACTTCCTCTATTCCACCGGCTGGTGCAGTCTGTTTGTGCCATTTTGGGGTGCAGGAGACTGGGGAACCCCAACGCGCCGTCACAATTAGTAAGACAGGATTTCCCTTTACAGAAACCATGTTGACTTTTGTCCAACAAATTATGTTCTTCAACATGCTTCACTATTTTATTCTTTACTATTGTTTCAACTAATTTGCCCGGAACTGAAGTTAGACTTACCGGTCTGCAATTGCCAGGATCGCCTCTACAGCCCTTTTTAAATATTGGTGTCACGTTGGCTACCTTCCAGTCATTAGGTACGGAAGCCGATTTAAAGGATAGGTTACAAACCACAGATAATAGCTCAGCAATTTCCCATTTTAGTTCTTTTAGAACCCTTGGATGAATGCCATCCGGTCCCGGAGATTTGTTAACATTAAGTTTTTCTATTTGTTCCAAAACCTCCTTTAATGACACTTCGATCTGGGATAGTTCCTCAAATTCCTCACCCACAAAGGACGGTGCAGATTCAGGAATCTCCCCAACGTCCTCAGCCGTGAAGACTGAAGCAAAGAAATCATTTAGTTTTTTAGCAGGCTTTCTTTAGAAAAAGATCCCGAGTACTTCTTTTAAGTACAACATCCTTTCAGGCCACTCCCAGAGCAGCATCACAAGGTGCCAGATAATCAGGGCCATAACCCCATAAGGGCTCCTTTGCAGGGGGAGGGGCAGGAGTTGTTTCCCCAAGAGGCTGCCTATTAGGCAGCACAGAAGGACACCAGGGCTGCCCCCTATGGGGGAAGGGCCAGTGCTGTCAGGTCCCATGGCTGGCTCCTTCAGCAGCACCTCTGTCTGGGAGCCAGCACTCGGAGCTGTCGAGTTCCTGTGGGGACCTGGGATTATCCCTCCAACAACACGACGCAAGCTCTGTTTGCCCCCTGCCTGGCAACCGGGAGCATGAACCCTGCAACAGGGGCCTCTGAGAGCGACATTGTCCCCACCCACAAGCCCTGAGTGCAGAAGAGAAAAGGCGAGGGAAGAACGTTGTGTTGAGGTGGGAAAACAGCCCAACCAGACTACTTCCCCGAGCACCAGGAGCCAAACACCTACCCCAGCTCTTAATGCATTTAAAAGGCAAAGCTGCAGTGAGGTTAGCTTCTAGGGCTGGGAGCTAATCCTACTGTGGCTCCCCTGCTTATCAACTAGTCCATGGAAATTTCATTAACTAGTTGATTAGTTGACTAAACTAAATTTAACATTCCTATTTCTAAGTGGCTTACAGGGCTGAGAGGAAAGCAGGGGAGCCTGCCTGGGGAACCCCACTGCTTCTGCAGGCCAGATCTGGTAGCTTAGCAGGTTAGATCAGGCCCAAAGGCCGTATTTTGCCCAGGCCTGGCTTAAAGGGAACTCAGGTTATAGGGCAGGGGTGGGCAATAAGTTTGGAAGGGGGCCCACTTCACAAATTTCAGAAATGGCTGCGAGCAGACCCTGAAGGGGGCGGGATCTTGATCAGAAGGGGTGGGGCCTCAGGTGGAAGGGAGTGGGATTGAGAATTCCATGCTGGGTACAGTAACATTATTTTCTGAACCAGGTGCAGCTAGGAAAAGTGGTTTAATTTAAACTATGAAGCAGATTAAGCATTTTAACTTTCTCATGTTAGTTTTTCAACCTTCATTTTAAATAAAGTAAAATATTATGTCGAACACAAAAGGTTTCAATGTTTTCTTTATTTATGGTGGGGGAGGGGAACCCTTTTTGGGTCAAGGGTCGCTGACCCACAAAAAATCAGCTGGGGACCACACAAGTGAGAAGCAAAAAAAATTCCTCCAAAATCCCACCAACGCTTACAGATGTAGCCCCAACTGAAACACCTCACTCCTCTGGTGCCCCAGCCTCACGTGGGGGAAGGGAAGGTGGGGACTGAGGCTCAGGGCTTCCCACAGACCAGATTTACTTTTCTGGGGTTCTGTAGTGGATTTCATGGACCTCCCTAGGCTCTGGGATGGGGACAAAAATGGGCACAGTGTGTGAGGCAGGGCTGCCAAGAAGCAGGATAGGGATGGGGTGCAGGATATGGGAGGGAGATGGGGTGCAGAAGCAGGCTGGGAGTACAGTGTCTGGCCAGGTGGAGGGAGAAGGAACAAGGGAAGGGGCAGCGTGTGGCCAGGAGAGTGTGTGCAAGAACAAGGGAGGATGTCAGAGCAAGCTGGGGGTGTTGGTGGGCAGGAAGAAGAGGGGATGGGATGGGGAGGTGGGGATAAGGGGGAATATGACCTGGATTTTTACCCCCTTGCAGCAACATCTCCAGCCACACTGTCCCGGAGGGAGAACCTGCTGCAGTGGCAGCCATGCAGTTGGCCCCAGGGGCACCACTGCTGTAGCCACATAGCTGAGGGTCAGCCCTGAAGTCCAGAGGCATCACTGCCATAGCCATGTGCCCCCAAAGGCAGGAGATTCTGCTGCCACGGCCATGATTTGGCCCCAGAGGTCACAGGTGCTATGGCCATGGTGCCTCCAATCTCTGGGGCCCACGTGGCCGAAGCATAGCTAAGGAGGCGATATATGTTCAAATATGTGCTAATGGCTTCTTTCACACTGACAGGCATGAAGAAAAATATTAAGGCAAGACTACACAACATGCAGACCCCATTTAAGTCAGTTCTGCTGCTATTAATTCAATAGTTACCCGATTTCCACCCATATGACAGCACTTTTAATGAGCAGTGACAGTCCAGGAATTTAACTACAGCCACTCTTCGAGTTACGAACTGTTCATAACTCAGACCCCATTGAGTTACACATGACCGCGCTGTTCGTAAGCGTGGGTCGTGTTCGTAACTTGGAGACCGCCTTTACGACCGCTCCATGGGAGCTTTGGTCGTAAGTGTGAATAGTTGTAACTTAACCGTTCGCAACTCGGAGAGCGGCTGTACTAAAACGCATCTCAACAGGAGGCCATTATATTGAATACTTTTTTGTTTTAGCTCCCACCTGCAGGCTGCATGTTGAGACCCATGTAAACCCAAATTGCACTGTGGGTTGCAAACAAAGGGGCTGTAGTGTGGGTCACCTGTTGAGTAGCCCTGTGTTATAGGGCTTCTCCACTATGGATTCTCCCATGTCTAACAAGATTTGAGCTCTGTCTGACACTTTACTCACAGAGCAGGAGGATGGTTTCTCCCCTGTGTGGCTTATTAATGTGTATTAAGGTGTGAGCTGCAACTGAAGCTTTTCCCACAGTCAGAAACAGCTAAAGGGTCTCTCTCCTGTTAGGTTTCTTTCATGTTTAACAAGGTCTGAGCTCTCCTTGAAGCTTTTCCCACAGTCAGAGCAGTTGAAGGGTTTCTCCCATGTGTGGGTTCTTCCATGTCTCACAAGATTTGACCTTTGACTGAAGTTTTTCCCCACACTCAGAGCAGCTGAAGGCTCTCTCTCCTGTATGGGCTCTTCTATGTTTAAGCAGGTCTGACCTCTCCTTGCAGCTTTTTCTGCTGTCAGAGCAGTTGAAGGGGTTCTCCCCTGTATGGATTCTCTTATGTCTAACAAGATTTGAGCTCTGACTGAAGCATTTCCCACAGTCAGAGCAGTTGAATGGTCTCTCTCCTGTGTGGGTTCTCCTATGCGTAACAAGGTTTGAATTCTGACTGAAGCTTTCCCCACAGTCAGAGCAGTAAAAGGGTTTCTCCCCTCTGTAGGCTCTCCTATGGATAACAAAGCGTGACCTCCGATTGAAGCTTTTCCCACAATCAGAGCATTTGAAGGGCTTCTCTCCCATGTACGATCTTTCACATGGGATTTTCAGTTTAACCGTTTCTGTGTTTGTTTTCACCCCTCTGGTCCAGTAACTGGATTTTCCCTGTCCCTCTTCTGTGTGGTTTCCCTGCTGCTTTTCTGGGTTATGCTGACTCACAGGTCTCTCCCTGCTCAGGTTTCTGGGAAACATGCCCTTCAGATCTTCCCAATAACATCCCATGTGCAGCCATTCGCTCCAGTGCTTGCTGCTGCAGACTCTTCTCACTGTTCTCACTCAGCGTCCCATCACCTGCTGGGACACAGAGAGAATCCAGACAGGAGTCATTCCCTGTGCTGAGCTGAAAGAAAAATTCTGAAGAGGAAACACAAAAGGGGGAACATGCCCAAGAAATGGCTGGAAAGACTGAATAATCACACAGAGAGTTCAACCTCCTTCTCCATATCCCTTCTCCCTGCCCAACACCCTCTGGCTGGAGTTGAAGACAGGCTGAAAGGTCAGTTAGACTTGATGTAAATGCACAAGTGACACCTGCTAGAAGGACCCCAAAATTGGTTTCTGAGTCAGTTTAGCTGATTGCTCACCTGTGTGGGTATCTCTGATAATCTCCCCTTACTCACAGCCCTAGAGATCTGGGATCCACAGCTCCACCCAGAAGATCACATGGGCTTTGGAGACGGTTAATTGCTCCCTGAGCAAGATTTCCAAAGTGCTGATCTTGTTCATTAAAGTCTGTGCCATTACTGCTTCCAGGGCCAGGATCTGAATCACCCACCCAGAGACGCTCCTTTCTCACCTTGCAGAGACTGGGCTCTAGCTGATACAAGATCCCAGGACACACACACCTGCAGAAAAGGTGAATTCCCTGGAGAATCAGCTGGGCCATTCCCAAGGTGGGGGGAAGCGGAGCACTCTGCTGCACTCTCTAGGGTACAACTCAGTCTCCCCCATGGCCCCTCCCTCCCCCCATCCCAGGGCAGGACAGGTACACAGTGCTCAGAAGGGGAGCTCTTGTGAGGATTTGCAGGTCTGACATCGAGGTCCCCAGGCAGGGCTCAGACTGCAGCTGCCACATGGCAGGTCACTAGGATTTGGAGAGAAAGGACCCAGCAGAGCTCTAGCTCCCCGAGGGCTCTGTCCACAAAACTCCTGGCTGGGGGGCTGAGCTCACCCTGCTCTTTGGCTTAGATGCTACTTGGACCAGAAGGAAACAGGGAAAGATATCTGAGGACAAAGTGAACCCTCCAGGCCCTGCCTATGCTCCACACTCCTCATCCCGACTACCTGTGACTGGTTGGGCCCTGCCAGCTGCCCACAGCCAGCCAGGGCAGTGCCAGGCTGTTCCTGAGGCCAGCCAGGATAGAGATGGGCTGTGCTGCTTCTCTGCTGCTTGTGACTGTTGCTGCAGCTCAGCTCCCCCTTTCCAGCCTCGGTTCTACTCTGCCAGCAGCAGCCTTTGTGTGGTTTCCCAGCCTCCCTCTCGTGGCCAGTCTGGCCTGCCATTTGGTGACACCCCCACCGATTACACAGAATGTACCAGAGTCAGGAAAGGTCTCTGAGACTGCACCTCCCTTCCAGGGACTCAGCATATTGGCACAAGGAGACCCTGCAGGCATTAACAGCAGCTGCACCCAGCCCCCCAACTCTAGTACCAGCTGTTCCTGCCTGGGCACTTTTACTCACACCTTCAGCCAAGGCACAACATGAGCAAGATGGTGGGAAGCACATGGAGACCTAGGGTATGGGAAGAGCAGCACCACTGTTACCTTCCTGAACTTGCTTCCCCTGGAGGGGGTATGGAGGGCACAGTCTTTCACACTGGAGACAAGATTATTGGGATTGATACTCCTGACACTAGGAGTAGGGGTAATGAAGGACCCTGAACCGAACCAAACCCAACCCAGCTGCTCCAGAGCCCACCCAGCTTCTGATACCCGAGGGAACAGGAATCCTCACCCAGCCAGCTCACAGCCTCATAATTCTCCTGCATCACACGCTGTAGAGGGCTCTCTGGCCTGGGTCCAGCAGAGCCCATTCCTCCTCAGAGAAATACACAGCCACATCCTTGAAGGTCACCAGCTCTGCCACGGCCATTTCTTGTCCCTGGCTCTGCAGGCCAGGGGCTGTACTGGAGACAGACATTGGTGTTCTGCAGCCTGGCAGGTGGAGAAGGGCAATTGGAGACATTTCAGAAGGGCAATTGGAGACATTTCCACAGCCCCATTCTCCTCAGACTCTGTCCTAGATTACACACATGCTGGACTCTGCCATTGTGGGCAAACGCTGAGTCTAGATATTCCATAAACACCACACATAAGTTAGATCCCAAAGCCACATTCATTTCTCTCAGTACCTGGCTTGAGTTTGAACATAACTGCACCCGTAACAATGGGATTTGGTTCTGAGTGCCCAGAGTTTCCATTAACCAAGCACAAATTCATCTGCCTGAACACGGATGTAAGTGTCTATATTCAGGCTGCTGTATTTCAAGCCACTAGTTTTCTTTCATTCATTCAATTGCAGCCCAGACCTAGTCCCTCTCATCAAGACTAAACCAGCAGAGATTAAGTGAAATCAAGGGGACCATTCAGATCCTTAAAATTCAACGCGCCTGCTGAATGTTTACAGGATGAGATCCTAAGATTAATAGATTCACAGGATCAGAAGGGATCATTAGATCCTGTAGTCTGGTCTCATCTAGGTCACAGACATTGCATTTAATGCAGTTACCCCGGTAACAAAACTGTATTTCCCCAAAGCATGTTTCCTAGAAAATCATTCACTTCCTTCAGTTTGAAATGCTTTAACTGCTTTTTCATAACAACTTCATATATGAGCAGCTGCAGCCATTTAGACAAAGTCGCACTCTTAGCCCCACGATCAGTATCAGAGGGGTCATAAAAATGTTTAACTTCACATCAGAGTCAGCGTTATAGTCTGTATCCACAGTGCTAAGAAAATGTCTGTTTTACCAGTGATGAGCGAGCACCAACTAGTCTCCCATTGAAACAAAGGGGGAAAAGAGAGATAGGGCCAGATCTGCACTAGGCCAGACACCCAGCCAATGCAAAGCAGTGTTATTGGTTTCAAAATCCTGGATTTTGGCAACACATCAGTGTAGGATGGTCGGAAGGAAGAACACCAACCAAATGTATCATAACTATAGATGTAACCTGTATGAAAATCTGTGACATTAAAACGTGCTATCAGAAGTATAAACGTGGACACCTGCCCCCACCCTCAACATTTATACTTGCAACACTTAAAGTAAGAGGAAAGTAAAACACACACTTCTATGTTTGCAGGATGGGGAATTGCTTACAGAAAGATGTCTCACGGGGGAACAGTATGAGTGTAGAACTTTAAAAAGGAATAATGGTCCTGTAGTACCTCAGAGACTCTCACAAATCTATAGATAGTATCCTGAGCTTTCGTGGGCACAACCCACTGCCGCAGGACCATTCTGTTCCTCTGAGGAAGTGGGTTGTGCCCATGAAAGCTCATGCTACTACCTATTTTTTTCTCAATCTCTACAGCACCACTGGTTTTTACCAAAAGAAGGGTTTTTAATACGTTGTCAGTTACAAAAGGATTTTGCAAAGTATCTGGGCACTTTCACATTTACAAATCTGGCCAGTAGTGAGTATTTGGGATCCAAGATCTACCCAAGTGGTGACCTGTGACAGCCCTAAGGTGCTGGGTGGAGAAGCAAAAGCAGCAGGCAAAAGCCACCCCCATTGGAGGATGAAAGGCACCTGAAGGAGTTTTGACACTGACCCAGGAAAGCTGTCAGCCTGGACTTCACATGGACCCAATGAGCAAAGATCTGAAGCTGCAGCACAGACAGGAAGCACTGGCCCAGGGGACTGCTGAAACTGTCAGCAACAAACATGATTTCCTGGTATTACACACACATGGTTTGTTTTCTGGCAATCCCAAGGAGTTGTTATCAGTAACTGAGGGGCAGAAAGAACAGGGGCTGCAGGAGACTGACACCTGGAAAAGCGACGAGCCCCAAACAGACACAGTTCGGAGCTGTAGGAGAAATATCGAACGAGGGTCTGCGCTGCCAGCGGAAACACGCTCTGGCATTAACAGCAGCTGCTCCGCTGGGGGCTCGGAGGGGAGCCCAGCGCTCTGCGTTAGGGCCAAGGGTCGCTGAGAATTATGAGTAATTCACGGACCCGCCCGCTCCCTGCCCTACTAAGAAGGGGCTGCGGATCCCCCCCACGGACCGACCCGGGCAGAGAGGATCGTGCGGCGCTGGGAGGGGGAGGAAGCGGGGCAAAGGAAAGTGCCGCATCTGCAGCTGGGGGCTCGGAGGGGAGCCCAGCGCTCTGCGTTAGGGCCAAGGGTCGCTGAGAATTATGAGTAATTCACGGACCCGCCCGCTCCCTGCCCTACTAAGAAGGGGCTGCGGATCCCCCCCACGGACCGACCCGGGCAGAGAGGATCGTGCGGCGCTGGGAGGGGGAGGAAGCGGGGCAAAGGAAAGTGCCGCATCTGCAAAGGGAACTTGTAGCCACCCCTCCCCCGCAACTTTCCCCCGGCTCCAGCCCCCCTCCCCC